GATTTAATTTTAAGTTAAAATTTTCGTTGCATATTTAGAAATGCAATTAGTATTTTTATTTTCAGTTTATCAAAATTAACACATTATTAACGTAATGATTTGATTATTTGAATTTAAATTAATGATTAATAAGTATTTGTCACTCAATTGTGTGCAATTAGTTATTTTAATTTTATTTATAATGAGACTTTTAGTTAAGTCATCGAGCAAAGGACTCGTAAGCCTTTATATAGAATTATTTTCCTATTTTTTTATTTCCGATTTATACAAGCATCTATAAAAAAGTGAGTAAAAAACAAACGCATACTTTATTTAAAAATAAATACTCCATTCTTGATTAGGTTTGCAATATTAATATAACATGATGATAAAAAACATCTATCAATAGTAATTACATATATAATTTATAATTGTTTTCTTAAAAGTAGAATATCTAATAATTAGGAAAATACTTTAAAAAGAGATTATATTGTAATGTAAAGATTATATTTAAGAATGTAAAAATTTAATAATTGGTAAGGATATATATTTTTCAGCATTATGGAATAACTCTGTGAATAAGTCTCATGATTGAAGTGAAAAGACTCGGCTTTCTTTGCGCGATATTTCGATAATTTTTGTTTTTACAACCATGTAGATTATTATGATCATTAAACGCTACTTGCCTTATTAATATTATTAGTTAAATAGCATATACAATTAAATCACTGCGCCGATTAAGTAGTTCGTTTTGAAGAATAATACAGTAATACAAACTTTCGTTGCTAAATATCTGAATATTATCGGTTGCTCCCTGCTCTTACAAAGTGTTTCAGGAAAAAGACTTCGTTGAATGGAACATGACCATTATTGCCAATAATTTCTGTTATATTAGTCAATGACATTATCGGTTCAGTAATATTTTTATTATTTTTATTACATACAGAAATAGGTCGCGCGAGGTTGGATCATATTTTTTTATCAGAAGCTCTTTTCATATTTTTTTTTTTTTTTTTTTTTTTTTTTTTTTTTTTTAATTCGCAGAAATGTTTGATCGAACAAGTTACAATTGTAAATCGAAACCTTTTATTTATCCCCCACAACGCTTCAATTAAATCAATGGAAACATATTTTTTAATACAAAATTGTTTATTTTTATTTATACTAAATACTAATTATTTTTGATATTTTTGCATAAGTCGTCTCCTTTGAAAATTATCCTCCGTTAGAAGTTGTTTTTCAATTAAATAAAAATTTTTTAATTATGAATATTTTGTCTTACGTAATTACGTAATATAATAAAATTGCTTTCTATTTATTTCATTATTAATTATATAGAAAATATAATTTAATATAGAAAATGTATAATTCAGATAAGATTCAAATAGAATATCAATTAATAATATACTTCATACGTATTATTATAAATTTTACTTAATTAGTATGCTGTCAGTAATATTATAAGGTAATAAGATTATTTTATTAATTTATTATTTATTTACTTATTAATAGAAAATAAAAAAAAAAAAACCGTGGAATTGATCGGAGATTTTTTTATATAAATTTTCATAATATTAATCGGTGCAAATATCGTATTAATTTAAATCATTTAATATTTTATTGTATCGTTCGAGAACAGTTTTACATAAAAAATGATAATACACTGTTTTACAAGTTATGAAAATTTATAGCTAAATTTGTGAATATAATTTTATATAAATTTGCCATGCTATTTATTATACATTAACTATTAAAGTTTTGTTTTGACGTAAAGATAATTATTAAAAATTCTGCTCTCGCTTTAATATTTATAGAAGATTGGCTTTTAAAAATAAATATCGTTAGTCTCAAACATTAATTATAATTAAATGATAACAATCAAATGTAATTAAAGGAGATATTAAAAATTTTACAATTTTACATAGAAACTTTCGCATTTCGGAGAAAAAGTTTATATAAGATTTTTTTTTGGATAAAGATCCAAACATTGCGGTCTGACGTAAATAAGTTCCTTTTATAATTTTTCAAAGAGGATTGATAATCGACTAAATCTACTTTTCGTAAATGTTATAATATGAGAGAATAATTTATAGAACTATTTGAGGAGAAGTCAATAATGCTATTTTGTAGGGAAGGTATTAAAAACCTCGCGCTAACCTTTTTCTAGGTATCGAATGTAGTTTTGGACATTTTTTTTTTAAACATTCGAATCGTTTTTTTTTTTTTTACTATTTTCTTTTTATTTTCTTTTAGTCTTGATATTACACGAAATTATTTCATTATTTATAGACTCTTCACAGAAGAAGATTTACGTATTTTAAGACTATGCGCAAGTTTCGATTCGCTTACTTTTTGCAAGTTTCATAATTAAAATTGTTAAAAGAAAAACTAAATGAATATAATAAATTATACAGTCAAATTAAAAAAAAAAAAAAAAATAAAAAGAAAAAAACAAAACATTGTTAGCTAAATAATTACACTAGATATTAAAAAATACTTTACACAAGTAAAAATGTTAATCATTTGTTTTATAATAATGTCTAAAAATATTTGTAAAATTATTGCAAATTTTTAATTTCATAGTCAATGAAGAATAGCTTTGGATCGACTTTTAATTGACTTTTAATAAAAATATAGTACGTTACAAGTGATTTATGTTCATATTTTATAATATTAGTTAACGATTAATCGTCTAATTATACACTTTTAAAAAGTATATAAAACAAACTGTCTGCATATCCTGTAAATACCTTATCAAAGACAAAGTGCAATATCTATTCGTGTTTCCTTATAATACTTTTACCATCAATTATGGGCATTCAAGGGATATTGTATTGTTAATTGTATTCTATTAATTATAAAATATTCATTAATTCTTCGTAAATAACATTTGTAATAATGAAGTATATTCTTATCAATTAAACGAAGTGTGAAAATGCATACATTAGTTATTAGCATTATTTATTGCACTATGTCAAATTGAATAAAATGGAAGGGATTTCGTTCCTTATATATATATATATATATATATATATATATATATCGAGGTTAAGCAACGTTTAAAAATAAAGTTATTGGTGTGCCGAATGTATACGAATAAGCACAGTGCATACGATTCTAATAATCATTACTCTTTATTATAACAAACTTTTATATATTGAAATGTATAGTTTAAAAATTATTTATATATATGCTTCTTTTTATGTTTTTCATCGCAAATGCACGAACTATTGGCATAATGATTTTTCAAAAATTTCACCTAAGTTCGATAAAAAATTGTAAATTCGATTTGCATATTTTAATTCAATTGAAGTTTGAATACTCGAATATTTATATTTTACTTAATTTAAACTTTTGAGTTTTATCATCGCTTCCCCTCCCCGCCTAAAATTAATTCGATCGAATTCATCCCAAAATTCCAGCCACTGAGCAATAATAATAAATTACGTAATGGCTGTTTATATGTAATTATTTATTTGATTTATTTTTATTTATTTTTTTTTTTTTTTTTTTTTTTTTTTTTTTTTTTTGAAGCATAATTGGCTCAACTACGTGTATTGCATTGACTTAGCTGAAGACTCAATTTTTAAGAACTTTTTTTCTTTTTCTTTTTCATTTATGGTTTAATAAAAAAAAATTAGAAGCAACGTACATCTCAAGACTGGAAAATGAATTCTCATTGAGATAAAAAGTTATGTTTACATAATATATTGAGTATTTTAATTTTTACTATTTCGTAATGAAATATATAATGATAATTTTATTAATAGCCAATAACAATCAAGCAATAATTTAAACGCTGAAGTAATTTTTTGATGACTTCGTAGTATTCAAACTGAACGGTTGCAGTATTTAAATACCTCATCAATTGCATAAGATAAAGTTTAACGGTTGTCGTTAATAATAATTTGTCATTGATATAGATTTAGGTAACTTCGAACATTGCTAAGCGATGTTAGTTAGTTAACGATGTTGACCAAACAAAACTGGACGATCAATATTTCATAGATGTATCGTTTTATAAATGTTCAAACGTTGTCTTTGTTCACAAATTACTAAATTTCATCTTATGAACAATCTTTGTTATTATCTTCGATTATTATTGTTTGTTCGTCATTTACGATACTTTCTTTCTCATCGTTATATCTTATATTTTCTTCTGGTCGCTCGTCAATGGGCTCCAACGCCTCTTCGACTCTGGTATAAACACCATCGATTTCTTCATCACGAACATCAGTTTCGTCCTTTTTAACCGAATCAATCTGTAAAGCTTCAAGGACATTTTGTTGAATATTGAGCTGTCTTACGGCGTTAACAAGATTATCCCTTAATATCGAATTTGCAACGTTGTCGACGGGTTCCTGCCACACTTCGGGCACGAAAGTCATGCGGACAATCGTGTAAAGTTTTCTAAATCCAAGCTTCTTATATAAGCTTTGGCTTGCCTCGTTCTCCGGTCGAATTACCACGAATGGTTTGTAGCCATTTTCGGCGACTCTTTTAGTCAGAAATCTGAAAATATAATTATGCACGGTAAAAGAGATATAGTTGCAATTGTGTTTTGTAAAATATTTTTATTGGCAAAAGATAGAGTTTAAATTTATTATCGCTACGATAATAATCAAAGCCATTAATTGTAAAAGTTTTTATTTTATAACATATTCATTTTATTATTGATGTGAAATTAAAATGTTTTATAAGCTTTTGAAGCGCCGTTAGTTATGCAATTTTTTCAACTACTTGGTTATAAAAAATATTTGAAATTATTGAATTTTCAAGTGTGTACAAAGATAATTAATCTATGACAATATAAACTATAATCCATGTATTTTAAATTGCTAATGTTAAAATAATTGTGGTTTTTTTAGATTTTTTTTTTTTCTATACATAGTTTCAGGAAATTTAGACGGTTAATTCATATATATATATATATATGTATATATATATATATATATATACAATGTGAATAGGATTATATATTTCTCATTTTAAGATTCAACGTTCGACATTCTTGTAAGATTTAATGTTCGTATGTGTATAGAAAATCAGATATTGCGGTAAAGAATAAAGATGAAATTGATGTTTATATAATGGAATTTGCAAGAGTGATTTAACGTATACGTAAGATTCAATTTACCAACCTCGCTAATTTCGTACCATAACCTTTTCTTCTAAATTCCGGTTTAGTTTGCATGGAGAACATGGCACCGTAATAGGACTGAACCATCCAAGCAGCTAAGCTACCATTCGCGAAAACTCCAGCCGCTGAAAGGTTCTTAATAAGGCGTAGGAAGAGCTCGTGGCACTCCATATCATTGGCTGGATATAATTCATGGATGCCCTCTGCATGCTCAGCCCTTAGTGGTAATACCTTCGGGCGACAATGGAATTTACATTAATATCTTATTCATTAGGAAGATGATTATATTTATGATAATGTGTATTATCATATGAGGGATGAGTATAAGTTAGGAATAATATTGGCAAATCTTTTGAGAAAGAAATGTGTAATATATTTGGTGAGTTCATTCGTTCGAGAATTCATTCGAGCAAAGTGGGATAATAGAGTTAGATTAAGGATTGAAATAGGTGGGAAGTAGCGATTACTTTACAAGATATTTGTCGTAAGTGTTGGGCCAAGAAGATTTTTCAATGTCAATCTCCCAGACTCATGTATTATTAATAAACGGCTCTTAACAAGGGGATTTTATGATTTTTTTTTTTTTTTTTTTTTTTTTTTTTTTTTTTATCTAATGTCAATGCTATTATAATTTTTACAGGATTCGAGTAAAATAGTTCAACGTTTCGATAATTGTTATTAGATTATTCATGTTTGTCAAAAGTGGGTTATACGGTGAAGGTTCTGTCTTACGTGTCCTCAAATTTATTACAAAATAGCACCCTATTTTCTTTTTTACAACCATCTTATCTAACCCACTTTCGATGAATTTGGCAATTTCTTCTTCATTTTATAAAAATAATAGAAACACGCACGTTTCCAATTAAAGTTTATTAGCCATAATTAGTTTTTACTCTTTTTTTTCTTTCAACCTTTAAATTTACACCTACACAATTTACCTAGTTTTTTGTTTTTGTTTTTGTTTTTTATTTATTTATTTATTTTTTTTTAATAAAAAGTGTTTACAAATCAATGATGCTTTCTTCATAGTTTCCGTGTGGAAATTTGCGCGAGATCGAGTTGAGTAATCGTATTTTCGATTTATTAAAATTTACTAGGAGAACGGCTTTGCCCCTAGTAGTTCGTTAATAAATTCTTATCATCGTTTTAGGACGGCCCTCAAACAGTTATGCGCATGAGCAAATCTGAAAGCGCGACAGTTTTAATAGATCGGATCAGCTGGGCAGGAGTAGGTTGTTTGTTATTCCAGTTATTCGTGTTAGATTTAAGTTTCGGAAGAGCGCTCGAGCCGGGCGTTTGTTACCTTCACGTCAACGTCGTCAGTGACTTCGTCGTCGCGTAGTTCTGTTTTCTCTGGCTCGTCACAGGCCCATACGTCGCCGAGAACCCGCTCGACGGTGCCGTGGCCCTCGTAGAGCCGTGTCAGCTCGTCGGCGATTTCCGAGTGGACGAAGTTTATGTATAACGGTTTATCCCAACTGATGAGGGCATCTTCATCAAGAAGCAGCTGTAGACATTCGAGCCGGTCGTTGGGGCAAAATACCCCGACACTCTCATACAGAAGCCCATGAGACTGAAAGTTGTTATTGTTATTATTTAAAACTAGGGTTTGTATGTTTGCCAGCTTTGAAGATTTGTTTAATATAAGATCGGCAATTATGAATGTAGATTACGTTGAGAAAATGTTACTTCCCGACAGATTCTTAAGGCAAAGTGAACATATATAAAGCCAAGACAACGAGACTTGATTTAATATATTTGACATTTTTACTGCCTTATGTAAAAAAAATGCTTATACTTTTGTAATAGGTTGCATAAATTATTGCTTATGATTTATTAATTTATTATGAATTTTTTCCTATGAAAGCGAAAAGCTCTCTTATAAAATGTTTGTACAATTTGTAAGTAAATTAACGATGTAGGGATACTGTCAAAATAATTATAAATATTTTATTATGCTGCGATTAATAGTTCGTAATTATCAAGATTGATCAGTGAATGATACATATTTAATGAAAGATGATATAAGACATAAATTGACCTCGGATCGTTACACTCGATGTATTTTGATTTCCCATTCTCACCTTAGTTTCTTAGAAATAAAGGCAGCTAATACTATTTTAACCTTGTAATCATTTTGAGATTAAGCGCTACTTTATCCCTGTTAGCGCTCCTGTCTTCTCGAACAAAAGATAAACTATTGATTTTAATGACATTGTCGATGAATTTACATCCAAACTTATGATTTATTAATAGCAAAAGAATGGTAATTAGATTATAAGTTTTTGCATTTATAAAATTATATTTATAAATTGTTATTTCAAATGAATGAATTGTATTTTTATATTTTAGTCAGCATTCTACTTTTGGTAAAGGATAATTAGTTGTAAATTATAATTATTAATTTTAAGCAATGTATTTATTAATTGCATAAAAATTGTTGTTATGTTTGCATAAATTTTATAACTAATATACGAACAGCGACTATATATATATATATATATATATATATATATATATATTATGATCATTTGATATTTTTGAGAAACGTTAAGAAGCAACGAGAATTCATTGAATAAAACTATTCTAGCACGTAGACCAAATAATATGCTGTGTCAGCAAAAAATTATGTCATAATTATTTATACATTCATAGTTTAAGTAACATGAACTTGTATATACATATTAAAAGAAAAATAAATAATGAAAATGAAGAGTAGACAAGCTTTATCATGAACTTGTTTTCTTTCTCCCCACCCTCCCCATTTCTGTTATTGTATTAATAATGACAAGGAATCTGAACAAATAGTATGAAAGTATAATGTTATTCGAAAACTATTTCAATTACAAATATAATAGTTGAAATTATTAGACAGTAAATTTTAACCTTTAAAAGTGGGAAAAAAAAATTGAATGTTTCTTAACATTACATTGGCAAAGAACCTAATTATTATTTTATTATTATTTTTAATCTTATGTATATAAATAATTTAAATTAATAATTAAGTTACGAAATACTTCCGTTATCTTTTCAACACTTGTACGCTACTTTCTTAGTAGCAAAGATTTTGAGCCCAAGTACTGATAATCTTAATAATTACAAAGATAACTTTTATGTCTATTATAAAAATATAATGGCCGCAATGTTGATGCCAAATATATTTTTATTATAAAAATTATTATTAATAATTTTAATCACTTAATGCAGTTTTAACTTCTCTTTTATACCTTCAGTGAAAATTCATAAAAAATATCCTTAATAAATCCAATAATAAAAAACAAATCTGAATCTGTAATTTAAATGAAACCGATTAGTTTATTCAAGTTTTTTCTATTTTACGCTGTACAATTATTTACAATTTACAATTTTAACTTATTTAAAGTTTTAACTTTTTTGAAGTTTTAAATATGCATATTTAAGTAGATTGGATCTTTTTACTTTAACTACACAAGCTTATTTAGAATGTCTATATGAATACACACAAAATTTATGTTAATTTATACATTAATATAGCAAAAAATTATACAAATTATAGTGAAAAATGAATGATACACTTTACGTGGTATTGAGGGAGAGTGCATTGGAGCGTGGACTACTAAATCTTTATAATACGGAAATATTCAAAAGAAAAAATTATTATTTAAATGGCATATCAGATCGTAGTGGAATAAAATTATTTATCAATTAAATTATAATACTAAACAATCTATTTAAAAAGTAAAAAAACGAACAGAATTACGTCTGATATAATATAGATACAGATATATTGGTATTAGTTAACGGTAAGATGAATAATGCAAGATTTACTTAGTATAAAGAGAATTTTAAAAATAGAAGTAAGAAATTTGTACAATAGCAATTACATTGATATTAGATTGTTTTATGGGAAACAGACAAAGATGTAAAATACATCGTAAAATTATTAATTATTAATTTATAAAAATTACTATAATTAAAATAATAATTAATTGTTAGAGATTAAAAATAGAATATATTCGATGATAGAGAATTGATCAGAAGAGATAAGTAAATAAGTGAAAATTATAGAACTGCAGCAGCCCGTATCTTATAAATCGAAAATCAACTTTACAAAAATACAAAAATACATTGGTCTAATAATTAGTTATTTCTAATCTAATAAATATTATTTAATTGATATTGATTAATTATTTATGCATGTATTCTAATGAAGGATAGAATCATTTTAAGGACAAATGTAGAGAATTGTTGTGAAACTTGAAATTATAAGTACGCACAGATGTAGAATAGATGAAGAAATAAAAAGCATGTCAGGTCTTGTTAGAAAATATAAAGAGTAAGCGATTCAAGGTTATATAAATATTGGTTTCTGTTATATTAAAAGAAAAAAAAAAAGAAAAAAAAAATTAGTTCTATTCTTACATTGATATAATTATTTTAAAATTAAGTATCAATATATGAGTACCATTTTCTTTGTTATTTACTTATTTATTTATTTCTTTTTCTTTTTCATCTACATAGTTCACTAGCATTTATTCTATAATATTATTACAAATACATCAATTCCCACTAAATTGATTGCAATTCTTAAAAGTTTTGTAGGTTATTTATATTATGTTATTTGAACTAAGCCATTGTATACAGTTTTCTAATCTTATAAGAAATATTACATGTTGTATAGCTCCGCTATACCTGACACGGCACTCGCTCCAATTTATTGTACGAATTTAATTTTGCCCATAAATATTAAAGTTTTAAAAAAGTTTTACAGCTCTTATTTTTGAGTATTATAGAGGAGTATTAAAATTTTAGAAAAATTTTAAAAATTTTATAAAAATTTTAAAAATTTTATAAAAATTTAAATAATTTAGTTACAAAAGTTTTAACAGTTTTATTTTATAGTTATATTGTTATAATGGGTGTATAAAATTAAGAAAATTATACAATTACATATTCATTAAATTATTTTCACAAATAGTGAAAAGTATTTTGCAAAAATTATCAAACAAAAAAAAAAAAAAAAAAACAGTAAATTTTCTTTTTTATCGTTTTTAGCGAAAATTGAAACCTTATTATTTAAAAATATTTTATAGGCGTACGATAATAATATGAATGATACTTTTATTTGATTCAATGAGTAAATTATTAAATTCTTAACGAAAAATAGTATATAATTTTTTTTTTTTTTTTTAATTATTTGTACTAAAATAATTTATTAGCTTATTAATTTAATGATAATATAAACAGTTTTTTCGATTCAACATGATGTTTAAATTCATTAAAAATTCAGAAAGATTAATTTAATGAAAACAAAAGATAAATATCTAATACCTTGTAATCCTATAACGTTTATAATATAATTACATGTACATTCAGTAATTAATTTCTGATTTATTAGTAATTATTGTTTTCCTTTCAAAGCAATAATTTTAAATAATAATTTGATACTTAAGACGTATTCTTATTATGCTTAATACTTTCAATTACATAGAATTTCTATTGAAATTCATTAAAGTAAAATATATATTTATATATATATATATATATATATATATATATATATATATATATTTAATTATGCTTATGATTTTAACGATGATTACCAGTGCTATGAGGCTAAATATTTATTTTCACAAAATATGTGAATTTATCTAATAAATAAATAGATATTAAAATGATGTAATTTGTATAAAGTTTTTTTTTTTTAAATAAAATGCACAATTTTCGCATGTGCATTATTATTATATAAATGATCGGGCATTCATAATCGATGTAAAATATCCTTATCTTAGTATATTACTAATTGCATGTATTTTCTGTAGTAATTTAAGTATATATTTGAACTATAAATTTGAAAATTAATTCTAATACAATTTAATTTTCAGTATGTATGGAAATTATTAGATAAAGATCCGAGGCAAATAATGATAAATCTAAAACAAATTGTGCTGGATAATCATTAAATAATAAATTTATTAATGTTATGTAAGTCGGTATTGACGCATTATGTAATAATACAAAGACAAAAATGACAAAAATCATACCAGAAGTTGAATTTAAATATAATATGAATTTTTACGGCCTTCAATAAAAATACACATTAGTTGGAACACATTTTCATTTTAATTACATAAAGTATAATCTAAATAATTAAAAATTATTTGTTTGCTATTGAATTTATAAATTGTGCTATAATAATAGTTAAGTCAAGATGTTTCGAGTTATAACAAGGTAATGATAAATGATCGAAAAAGCCGAAGATTAAATGTTAAAAAATTGAAAATGAAAATATATTTTAACGGTAAATTGCGCGATGTAAGTGAAAGAAACGGGCGATAATAGCGGCAAAGAAATCGAGAGTTCATTCGTGTTAATAGAGGGAGAAACTAAGTGAGCATGAAAGACAGGATAGAGATAAAGATAGATGTATATTCAGTAAACGAAGATGGGAAGAAGGGGAAGTGAAGAGAAAGTGTTCGCGCAAAACCTTGGCTCAGTGCCAAAAAGCTTGTTTCCTGCTCGCGCTTATGTCCTTTTTCATACAGGCCTTTCTTCCTCCCTTTCTCTACGTTTGCTGCATGAAGCCACAGAGCC